TCCTGATAATATGGTGGCGTGCTCAGGAAGACACTTGAGTGAGTGTGTAAAGTCCTGAGTGAATGTGTGTTGTTGGACATAGACACAACCACATCGACCCGTGGGAGTGGCCAAGTCTTTTGCCCAAGGCTGAGGCTCTGAGTGATGGCAAAACCTTCCTTTGCTCCAAGTGCCAGTGTTGACCGTGTGCAAAACTCGCAAGTGCAGCCTGAGACAGCCGGCCACAGAGACCTCCCACTGACTCAGGCTAACCCATGTTATCACATGAGAAAGTGCTGAAGTTCCAAGTTGTTGAGTAGTGACCCCCGTGAAGCTTCCAACGGCCCGCCTGGCCCCAGCTTTCCTGCCTGTGTCCATGTGTCTGTCCTTTCTTCATCCCCTCACTGCCTGTCAGGTCGAGTCCCTGCCAGGCCGTGGCTGCTGGGCTGTTACACTGCCCGCTCTGCAGAATGGACAGGGTTTGTGGGGGGGGGGGGCAATAAAGCAACACGTCTTTGGGGTGACAAAGGACTTGGTTTGTCAGGCTCTGGCCATACCTCAGTCTGGCCTTAAACTTGATATCTTGTCCCAGCCTCCAGAGTTCCAGGACTGACCCACACCTAGCTTTGGAATATATATAGTTTTGAAACTAGCTCCCACAACCAGGCAAGCGGCTGCATGTCAGTAATTCCTGCACTCAAGGGGTGGATACAGGAGAATTGGGAGTTCAGAGTCGTCCTCTGCTAAATAGGAAGTTTGAGGGCAGCCTGGGCAACATGGGACCCAGACAAGAAAGAATGATAGGTGGGTGGGTGGAAAGAGGAGGGAGGGCCCAGACAGCCAGGAGATTTCACGTCGGCACAGGCTGCAGTTAGGAAAGTATGGCCACTAGGGGGCACTGGTAGCAAGCAACTTCTAACTGGCGCTGTGGGAGACGGGACCGCAATGACTCTCAAGACAATTAACTCATGGGTAGTTTGGTGGCATACTAAACTTGTGGAAGAAAGTAATCAGGTTAATTCTAACAACAGATATTCCATGCAGTCGTGACAGGAGGATCTGGGATTCCAGCAAGCATGGTGGCAGGTCCTATGGAGCAAGAAGCCATGGTGTGTGGATGACGTCGGTAAAGGGCCAAGTGACCAGAGCAGAGTAGGGGGCAA